TGCTATACAAAAAAAAAAAAAAAAAGCATGACTGTACCAGACTGTTTCATCGCGCTTTCACCGACTCATCAAAAGGTCGATCCCCGACAGTCTGCTCGGGATAACTGATGGGTAAGGACTCACCACATCGCCCAAAGTTAGCGACAAACCTAAGAAAAGTGGTCGACTTTACTCACACCAACCATGCAATCCTAGCAGACTGCCGGTCCAAACCCCTGATAAGAACCCTATGTAAGTCTGAGAAACTAATCTGACACAGTCATAAAACCCACTCTACACACCCACTCAGACATGGACACCCAATGGCATGACCTCTAGTACGGTGGTGACCCTAGCCGCATCGATCCGCTAAATGGAAAGCTTAGCAAGGGCGTGTTGTGTGTTGTCATATTCGCTATACACTCAAAAAAAGCATGACTTCACTAGACTGTTTCCTCGGACTTTCACCGACTCATCTCGAGGTTGAACCCCGATAGTCTGCCAATGATGCATTTGGCTGATTGATAAGGACTCATCACATCGCCCACAGTTAGCGATACCCCATACAAACGTGGTTGACTTTACTCACACCAACCTTGTTGTCCTGGCATAATGTGTGTGTGTATGTGTGTGTGTGTGTGTGTGTGTGTGTGTGTGTGTGTGTGTGTGTGTGTGTGTGTGTGTGTGTGTGTGTGTGATGGGTGTGTGTAAACACGGCCACCCCGTATATACAGGAAACAAGAACATCACATTTGTCATATCGCGGCAGGTCAGTAGCAGTTTAAACATAGTGGGTGTTTTAGTCATCAACTCATCTTTGAGGATGTAAGAGAGGTTTGCGATTTAGATTTTGGGGAAGCATTTTAGTAACTAGAATTAGTAATTAAGGTTAGCAATGGCCGTTGAGGACAGCCATAGGGGGGGTTCACGCCCTGAAGCGCGCTTTTCGCTGCTTAGCACCCATAGCAACTCGTCAGAGGGATGATGCTCCAGATTAGTTTGTAGATGGGGAGTGGCAGGAGGCGGTGGGAGATGATGGGTATGGGCGGAGGTTAGAGGTATGTTTGAGTAGTAACATACCAGTGATCGAAACGCTTGCGAAGACGGAGTCTCCTCAATGGTCGTCATGTTCCCTTGGTAAGTTTAGCCGTTCGTTCAGCACAACAAAGCGAAGTGATGGCTGGGAGGTGTTAGACGAGAAGAAGCGATGGCGTTCCGAAAAAATGCGAGAGTCAGAATGCTCGTGATCTCTCGGCACTCGAGCGTTAGGGGGGAGGTTGTCGCGATTGTTTAGGAGTTTGTGGCGGGGAGGAGGTGGCGGAGAGTAGCGCATAGCGAGCTAGCACTGTAGGCTTAGCTTCAACTGATGGGGTTCGCAGTGGTAGCATGGTGGTTATATGGGGAGTGATTAGCGTTATTGCAGTTGGTGGCGTAGTATTGCTTGCCTTGCTGTAGTTTGATTTACGGGTTACGAGTTGTGTGTTGTAAGGGTGTGCAAATGTGAGGCGAGAAGTGCGGTTGTAGGGGTCATGTCTGCTGCTATTCTGTTGGGGGGTGGGTAACATAGGTTGTGAGTATTCCATCTTGTTGTAAGTATTGATGGTTCTGTATCTTCAAGCAGGGTAATACACACTGAGAAATGTGTTGCCGCATTTACTGCGAGCTTGTGTTTGTTTGCGCCACGTCTGTGTTAATCCTATTTAATTGTCAGTGTCACAGGGGGTGTGGGCTAGCTTGTCATTTGGGCGGTGAGTTGGCTATGCTGCGTGAGTCTCAAGGTCGAGGGAGGAGGATCTTTTTCGTCATTTTGCTTGGTCGTGCCGCGACTTGTGTGTCGTGTAGGCAGAGAGTGGTGTCGTTTGGGCGCGGTGCTGCAGGCGGAGTATTGGTTTGTCTGGAGTAGGTGCATTTTTGTCCGACTTTGCATGATACTTTTTCAGGCTTGTCAACAAGGTGGTTTTTTTTTTTAACTTAGTTCTTCTTAGTGTGTGCGTAGGGTGTGGGGGGCTCTTGTTTTTTTTTTTTTTATTGCAAAAAAAAACATAACTTGTTTTCGGGTTATCGTTTATAGGTTATATTTTAGTATTTTTATGGGTGTTATTATAGATATGGGTTGGGGGTGGGGGGGAAAAAAATTACGGACGGATATTTCTTTTAATTAAAGCAGGGTACGAGTCTTGTATATTGCGGGGTTCGAAACCTACGAAATTTTTATCATGGAGGGGGACCAAGTCTTGATGGTGTGCGTGCGTATCATGTTAAAAGAAGTTGTGTGTATGCAGGATTTACAAATGGCTATTCGTATTATATTTTTATTTTATGGATGAGATGCGCGTGTTTTTATTGTATTTTTTTTTTTATTATTTTTTATTTTATTAGTGCTTTATTATTTATTATTTCTGATATTTTATAATTTATGATATTTCATTACTAATGCTATCTATATATATTATTATTATTTTATTAAAAAATTCTCAGTTTTTTAATTGGGCGGTAGGACATTATGGTATATGTACGCATGTGTGTGTGTGTGTATGTGTTTGTGCGAAACCTATGAGGAAAATTTTTTAATTTTTAATTAATTTTTATCCTTTTTTTTTACTGATTTTTTATTTTTTGATGTATTTTATTATTTATTAATATTTACTCATTTTATTTTTTATTTTATTATTATTTTTTATATATTTATATTATTTATTAATAATTATATATATATATTTTTTATATTTTATATTTTATATTTATTTTATATTTTATATTTTTATTTATATTTATTTATTTATTTTTATTATTTATTTTTACTATTTTTTATTTTTTTTAAATTATATATTTATTTATTATATGTTTATAAAACTTATTAATTTATTATAATTACATACAGGGTTACCAGCCCGTACGTACGGAGGTCCCTGGGCAGACCTTCGTACGTACGGGCGTTCGGGGTTCCGTACGGGGTCCGAACCTGACGGTGTTCGGCCCCC